TTGTGATATTTTAGAAGTGCTGAGCATTTTTCTATTATTCTGAGTCTTAATGTCTTTCACATTTGAGAGCTTGTAATCATTCATATTTTCTTCCAGTTTTCTAAATATTAAAAATATATTCTTTAATTCAGATGAACTATATTTTAATTTATAGTAGGTGCTAATCCCCTCTCATTTTAAAATGATAATCTGAACTTTTATCTCAGAGTTTTTTCTTATTGATTTAGGATGTAACTTTTATCATTTACCAATTTTTAAATGTACATTAGGATTTTATTCCAAGTTATTTATATAGTTTCTTAAATTATGGATTTTACCAAGACAGCATAATTTAGACTATGCTTCAATGAGGCAAATTAACGTTTTATTGGGCAAAAGTCTTCCTTTATTGCTCTTATTAAATGTTTTTATTAACAGCATTATTTTTCCAGTTGTACTTTGAAATTTTGTTATTTAATTCTGATAGAAACAAAATTGAAAACCTAACCCATTTCTTATCATTTCTTACTCCTTATCAAATAAAAATGTCAGTGAGCTAACTAACCAAATAACCAAATAAAAAACTGCATACCTTTATGGAGTTTAAAAATGTATCTTAATAGTAGTAATCACTACTCAGATAATTAGAGGTTGATGTTATACATATGATTTGTAGCTGCACAATATAATTTATATGAAATTAGGATTGTTTTACATGTTTAGTAATATGACTTTTAAAAAATATATCACCAGCAGAACAATATACCATGTCATTAATCTTCTAAATTATTTTTAATAGTTATATATTTTTCCTTCACACACATATGCACATACACACAATATTTACTCAGTCAACCCTTATTTTTGGACATTGAGTTTGTTTCCACTTTGATACTATAAAAAATAATGTAAACAACTTAGGATGTTGCAAATATCTTAGAATGTCCATTTCTGTGTGGGTCTCTTATTTTTCTTTAGAGTAAGTTCTTTGTAGTGAAGTTCTAGGTCAAAGGATAAAATTGTCTTTAGTTTTCTTATATCCCTTGCCAAATTGTCCTGTACTCAGCGATTTCATGCTTTTGCCTGAAGCGAATGAGACTGTTTCCTTAGAGATTTTGATTACAATTGCACTACACTTAAGTGAATTGGAAGAATCTGACAACCTTTTTATATGCAGACTATGCATCTAGGAATGGTGTGCCTCCCTGATCTATATATCATGTTACTTAGTAATGTTTTATTATGTAAGTGTTACATATTTCGTTAGTAGGTATAAAAAGTATGAACATTTATTCAGATAAATGTGGTGCATTTCCTTACTAGTATTTTTGGTTTTTAACATTTTTTATTTTGTAGCTCTTGGAAATGAAATATTTTCTGACTATTATTTTTCAGAAAACTTCTGATTTTTGTACGTTCATTGTTTATATGTCTATGAACTTTCAAGTCAATTTTTAAGAATATTTTCCTATATGCATTTTGATACATATTAATTTTATACAAAATTGTGTTTCATTGTGACATTTTAATAAATACACATAAAAAACTTTATCCTCAAATTTTTTTTTTTGGTACTGGGGATCAAACTGATGACTTTGTGCCTACCAGGCAAGCACTTACACCACTGAAAATGTTTTCCTTAACTTTAGAGATACTGAAGCTGAAGACTTGAGAGTTAACTTTCTTGAGTTATATGGTGGGTTCAGTGGTGAAACTTCTGCTGAACCTAATTTTCTCAATTCTAAGGGTGATACTTTTGATACCCCATCTGATTGCTTACAAGTAAACTAGCATAAATACAATTCCCCAAATAAAGGATTTGTTACAGGACTCCGTCCTAGCGACAGTTCTGTTTGACTGTCATCGCCACCTTTTAACACTCACTGCCCTTCTAGGTGTCTGCAGTGAGCCTGGGATGAGGAAACGGAAGCCACACAGCTTCCGTGGCTTAGAGCCGAGAGAGCCCGGTTAGAGGAAACCGGATTCTGACACATCACGTCTGAACTCCCAACCCAGAGAGCGTTGTTGAGTAGGAGCCACCTAATAAGGAAAGTGTGCATGAGAAGCTGGCAGCACAGATCCTGAAATGAGGTAAAGAGGATAGGAGTATGGACAAAGAAATCTTTGTTTCCCCTGAGCTTTCTATGGTTATTTCTTCATCTGGCTTTGAAATACCTAATTCCCAAGTCAGCCTTGGGAGTTAAGACTGAATTCTCAAGGCCACATTCAGCGTGGTTATCGTTACTACTTATGGGGTGAACTGAAAACCACGAATTTTCTAACCCTCATTTCATTTTCTGATTTTAGTCTTCTTCTTAACTTCATAATAAGTTCTAATAAATCTCTAAGTGGAATCCAGGGTGTGTTGTGCTCCTTTATTCCTTTGTTTATCCCTTCTGGTTTACTGTGATGAATAGTGACCAAACAGAACAAGGATAAACAGTGAACACAAACATGAATTACTGAGTGGGAACGGTAAGCTGGTCCTGGCCTTCAGGCGATCTGTTAGCAGGCCGCACAGTCACCAGCTCCCCTTCTCTGGGTACTAGCTCAGTCATTCGTTCACTCACCCACATAGTCTTCTTGGTGCACCAGCTAGAGCTGAGCTCATTGTGGGGCAAAATCCAAAACATGCGGACATGCCTTGGTCTTAAAAGTCCTGACCAGAAGGAAGAAAGTGTGCAACAGAAGCAGGATGGGGAGAAAGTAACAAAAGCTTGGAATATTTCACGTTCTGGAAAATGACTTTGATTCCATCCCAGGCCTCTTAAGACAGACAGTAGCGGATACTTCTGAAATGGCCTCACATTCTGCTCTTGTCCCCTTTTACTCCTAGAAGACAGGATGGTGGGAGGACTGATTTGAGTTTGTGGTTGAGGAAAGCAGAGCCTCCAAGGATTCTTCTCCTGGTTCCACTTCAAACTTTATTCGCAAGCGTGAAGAACACTAAGCTGAGGAAGCTTGGAAAGTGGGTGAGTGTTGCCAGAATCGAAAAGTAGATTCAGGTTGCACCATTAATTAATCCTTTAACTTTTCTTGGCCTTGGATTTTCTATCTATAATATGGAGATGGTAACAACTGTTTTTAGAAATAGTCATAGGACTGTTTGGACAAATGAGATAATGATGTGAAAGTTTGTGTATTTTAGAATGCTAAATGTTATATAAGAAGGAGCCAGAAGAGACTAGAACAGCAAAAGCAATACTGGGCAACAAGGGCAAGGGAGACATCATGTCACAGTGACATAATCATACCTATGCTTACAGCAGTGCAACTCATAATAGCTAAATCTTGGAAAGAGCTTATATGTCCATCAACAGATGAGTGAATAAAGAAACTGTGATATTTATATACAATCAAGTACTACTCAGTCATAATGAAGGGTAAATTTGAGTGATTTTTAGGAAAATGAATGTGTCTTGAGACCATGATGTTAAGAGAAGTAACTCAGATGTATAAACTTCAACATCACATGATTTCTCTTACATGAAAAACTCACTATAGATAGATGTTATATATTTATATATAATAAAAGGCTGATAATAGACAAAAAGAGAAAAAATACTATATTATAGCCCAGTGTGAACAATGTATCTAAAAGTATACCTTGAGTTATTATGATTGTCTTATATGTTTTATAAGTTCTTTGGCCTATTAGTCTGGTTTTCAATCTGTACATATGATAATTAATTTTTAAAGTTCTTATAAGATAAATAAATGACTTTGGTGCTGAAAAAATACAAGATAATAAAGGGAAAGTAAAAAAAACTCCCTACTGTGAGTGTAATCATATGTTAATACAAACATATACTGATACAATGAGAAAACTGCTGTGTAAAAACAGGTGCTATTAATGTTGGTAATCTCAGATTTTCTTTTTACATTTGAGATTTGTCAGCATAGACTGATTAGGACTTGCAGTGATAGCTCAGTGACTAGGCTGCATCACTGATGCGGTTACACATGAATACTTGTTTTGTGGTACTTTTCTTTTTTTTTTTAAGAAGAAAGCAACTTTGAATGTGGTACTTTTCTTCAGAGCTGCAGAGGATTTCCTAGCTCCGTATCTTAAATACCTTGATGGAATGCTCCCAGTGCCTAGGGTTTTATGGAAAAGCTGCATAGATCTTGCTCTCAAACACCTTTTATGATATTTTATGAAAGTCTACATCTCACATTGATTCTGGGTGAGGGAACTTCCTGTCAGTAACTTTCAGGCTTTTTTCAAAATGACACCTCTTTGTTTTTTCTCTCTTTTTGAGACAGGGTCTCACTATGTAGTTCAGGTTGACCTTGAACTCATTTTGTAGCCCAGGCTGGCCTTGAACTTGCAGTGATTCTCCTGCTTCAGCCTCCTGAGTGGTGGGACTACAGGCATACACCACCAAGCCTAGGTAAAATGACCCCATTTAAATGAATTGTGGTACTCTTATTTAAAGAGAGGCTAGGTAGTTTGAGACTAGAGATGAGGAAGGACAAGTCCTGTTTCAGTTTTAGCACTGAACTGTGTTTTATTTGTTTAGATTGTAGTCTTAGTCGATTAGATTCTAGTTTGTCTCACTCAGTTTTCTAAAGAAGCAGATCTTTCTTTTGACGGTCCATTGTTGTTTTGGAAAGTTCATTCTTGTCCGTAAAGGGTCTAGCAAATTAGCATTATCATTCTGTAGCACACTGGAAAAACTTTTCCCTGGTATCAAAAAGCAGTTTCCTTAATGAGGTAAAAGTATTGCACTTTGTCACATGGTATCCTTTATGGGTGGCCTGTTGTGTTTGGCAAAGAAATGTGGCACAGCACATTTGTTTGAAGAAACTGTTTCCTCCTGGGAAGAAACAAGTCATCTTGGTACAAAACTTGAAAAGTTAGCAGAGGTTTTATTATTTGAACATTTTGGCACTCAGCTTCTTAATTTGGGAGGCTGCTACATCTTTATGTAGCTTCTTCATGTGAAAGTCTGTGAATATTCAGGACAAAGTGAAAGCTGATTTTAAAACTTTGTCTTAACTATGAGGTATGTATTGTAACAAATATTGCATTATGTATTCTTTTAACCACTAGCTCTTTAAGAAGTCCTTAGCACTCCGAGTATACAGAGGTATAACATAAATCTTTGGTCAAGATCTAGGCTAATTGGCTCTTCACTCTTTCATTTTGTAGGTAGAAGGAAGAGGTACAAACACACATGGTCAGTGCAGATGCAGAAGCAGGCTGGCTTCTTGGACACATGACCTGTGAGGTGGCATGAGGCATCGCGCTCAGAGAAGCTCACTTTTTGGTTTAGTGCTTCGGTCTTACCATTTTGAATTTTTGTTTTTGGTACTGGAGACTGAACTCACAACCTCACACTTGCCAGGCAGGCACTTGTGCCTCTGAGCTAAATCCCTGGTCCTACTATTTTGAAATTTTGGATACGAATATCTTTTGAACAGCATCTCCACATTTCATTGTGCACTGGGTCCCACCGATTCCATAGCAGTCCTGCCCTTGGGACATTAGCAATTCTCTTAACTGTTAGAGGATCCCAGATGTTGACAAGAAGAGAATGAGATGAAGCGGAATCATCAGGGACCATCAGGTAAAGAAATAACCAGAAAATTCTGCCTCCTTACTTCCTGTATTTATAAATCAGGGGAATGTTCTCTGGGAAAGAGATAGGGGGTGGATCTAGCGATATGTGAGAGGTTGTTGTGTTTACATCATGAGTAACTGGCTGGCAAATCTGGTTCTGTTGCTTGAATTCCAGTGTCATGACTCTGTGTGGCTCCTTCCTAAACGGGGCAGTCCTTGGCAGGTGCTTCTGCTGGTGATTCTTGCTATTGTCTAGCTTTTGACAGAGCCCATCGCCTTCATGGCTGTGGCTGTGTGCTGATGTCATCTCCTCTGTGAGTCAAGCCCTGACTGTGCTGTTTAAAACTGTAGCCCACTCTCGCTTTCCCTCCCGAAACTCTGATTCTCCTTTTAACTATCATTTAAATATGCAAGTATTGACACATAGTAGGTGCTCAAAACCACCAACTGGATAAAAGCATGAGAGAATGAGGTGATAAAAAAACCTACTAACGTTAAAGTAAGGCCTTAATGAGAATCAAAATGGCAGATATCTTGTTTCCTGTCCACTGCTCAGCTGGTTCTAGTACTTTCTACACTCAGCTGAGCTCTCCCTTCACTGTACTGTTTTTATGAGTCTGTGATCTCCAGACAGTTTTAAGATCCAGGAGTTTTCTAGTTTGGGCATCTTTATATTAGGAGCAGTGTTTTCCACCATCCCTATAGGATGGAGCTAGGACACTGCTCCTCACCAAGAGGGTGACAGGAGTGCACGGGACACTGCTCATTCTAAGGACAGCTCTCTGTGCCCGAGGAGAATCTACCTGGCTCTTTTCCCTCTTCCTCACCATGGTCCATGTTCCATTCCAAAGAGGAGCTCTGTGGCGATAACTGCCAGTGGCCATTCAGCCTGTCCTTCATCCCACTCTTCTCAAAGCTGCGGGGGTCACTGCATCATCAGTTTCATCAGTGTGAAGTAAATTCCAAATTACTAGTTTACTTCTATAGCTTTCCCTTTGTATAAAAGTCAGCTATTTGCTAAGATATGTACTAGCTTGAAAATAGCCTCAAGAGACTTTTAATGTGTGAAACATAGCATTTAATCAGTATAAAGCAGTCCTGCTTTTGAATTATATTTGAAAACTGAAGTGTTTGGCTCAAAGGTACTTTGGGCTTTAATTTAAAGTGTGAGTTGTATATAAATGAAGTAATGGAGGAGGAACATGAAAGTAAGTAATTAAGTAGAGTCTATATTTAGTGCCTGCAACCTGAAGTGCCTTTTTTAAACAATTGTTTCTGTGTCCTTTCACAATTTTCCCTTCATTGTCTTTAAATTATTGAGGACTCTGACTAATCAAAAATTCAATTTACTGATGTAAGAAATGAATGGCAGCGTCACAGTAATTGAGTTCAGTTTGAGAGCCTAAGTGTCACATTCAGCACTTAACGTGCTTAGAAAAATTTTGCTTAGAGGAAGACCATCACTTAGTTCTATAAAATTATAGGCATATGTACCTATTTTTTCAATTTTTTGACAATCTTTGTAGTGACATTTGAGACATTTGAAACCAAAGGGAATAAATACAACAGTAAAGGTGATTTTATTTTATAGCCAGGAATTGGTAGGAAAAATTTTAATAAAATGTTCAAACATTTCTAGAGGATAAAGATTTTTCTTTTCCAAAAGGAAGCCTAGGAGTTGTTGCACCTTGGTAAATTGGGCACTGGCCTTCTGAAGCATACGAAAATTACTTTAGTGTGGGACAGCAGTTAAAGTGGGAAGATTGTTTTGTCTAGGTCAGAGACCTTGAAGATTAAATACTTCCAAAAATGAAATAATCCTTGAAAACCCCCTGAATACTGTGTCTTTTCATTTTCCCGGGGAGAATAGCTGAGCTGGCTTCCTGGGTAAGGCCAGGGTGGGGTGGGCTGGCATTTCCCAGAGTGCCCGGCAGGGAGGAGAGGGGCTGTGTTGTTTCCATGGACACCAGTGCTCCATTTTTCCTCTAGGTGGTGACAAATGTGACTAGATTTAGCCTGATGAGGTATAGACTAATGAAAATTTGTTCCCATAATTTTTTCTAATGTTTCCTTTGCAACTTTTGTACAAGTATTCCTTGTCAGCTAGAATTACTTTGTGATTTTATGTTGGAGATTTGTTTAATTTTTTTCGAATAGGATATGTTTAAGTTAATGGAATAATCCAGAAAAGTAGTTTAATGTATATACATTTTAAATCACCAAAAAAGCATATGTTTCAGGAATCTTATAACCACGTGACTGCCTGAAGGCACTATAAGCCTTATTGTCTCTTTTTGGATTTGGAGCCTCAGTGGAAATTCCTAGTGTTGCTGTGTAACTGAACACAGCCGTGTCTCTGGAACATATGTGACTTCAGTGAGAGTTTCAAGGTTCACTGAAGAAAGTGAGCTTAAAATACGGTGAGCCCAGATTCAAAAAAGGCAAGGTGGACTCGCCTTCTCATTGGGGACATGATTTCACTTCGGAGATAGGCACAGTTAGAAGTGGAGCTTGTGACCACATAGCTCACACAGTCTAGTAAAGTAACCTTTACACAAGAGCTGTGATGTGGAAGACCCACGCCAAAAACAACAGAGCACGGTGGAGTTCCTGTCCTTTCAAAGCAGGACAGTTGAAACAGTGGCCGAATTTAACAACAAAACAAAACAAACAACAGTCCAGGCCAAAGTTTTCTGAAGAAAGGAAAATATAATCATTAGACATTAGACATTTAAAAAAAGTACTGTCTTATGGAAAAGGAACAATATCTCTCCTTATTGCTGGCAAAGAAAACATTTTCACTTACTGAAGCCTTTCTGGGTAAAACTGAGAAACTGTATCCATTTAATAAAAATCTTAAATTAGGATTACTATTATTAGTTATGCTTTGAGAATTTGAAGATCAAAGAAAGATGTCCTCCTATCTAGATATAGCAATAGTTTTTCAAAAGTATTCCTTTTGCCTTGATAGCTAACTTCAGTAGCAGAAAATGTGAGAAATTAAGGTGTTGATTTCCAAAGATTTTTTTCTTTTAAAAATTATACCAAAAACTTCAGTGAATGATAAATGATTGTGTTACAGATTTCCAAGTTCTTGCCAAACACAGCATTTTATAAGATAAAAAAAAGCTGGATCACTTAAGAAAAGTAATTCATTTTTTACCTTGACTCTTTCCCAGAACAAACATAAAAAAATGCATTATTTTCCTTCCCAGCATTAACAAAATATTTTCCAAATCCATTGCATGCACTGCATTCCTCCATCAGAATCTTATTCAGTTTATAACTGTGCTGGAAACTGATCTCTGAGAATTAATCTGATACGTGCTTTTACCTCCTTTTCTCCTGTTTAATGCTTTGCCTAAGTGCGCCAACGTTCCCTTGAATTCTGCTAGACTTTCTGGGACATACTACGATACTACAAATAAAAAGTGGCAGGTTATTTTTATTTCTCTTTCTCCCCCTACTCCCTTTAAATAATTTGAACTTTTTGATGCTACCACTGCTTTAAAGTTTCTAAAACCAGTGATCTGTGTTTTGACCTAAGGTAGAAATTGCATTTTTAAGGTACATAGAAGGTTTATGATATCCAGTCTTCCTTAAAAGCTTTGCCATTAAAAAAAAAAAAGATTTACTGTTTAAGATATAGGTACAATCTATGAAAATGAGGAGCTTTTGCCCTGTACTCCTCCAGAGGGTCACAAGGGTTAAGAGAAGCAGAGGCGTCCCAGAGGGTGACAGTTCTGTTTTTCCACTTACAGGGGCTCATGACGGGGGCAGCTAGCAACCCTGCTGTTCCTCTAAGCAACCACCTTAATGAGTTATAACTGTGCGCAGACTTACTGTGATGGCTTGGAGTCTTCCCTTCACCAGCTCAGCTTCTTCCATTCTAGAAGTCGAGCACAGGCAGACGCTGAAGGGAGTCCAAAGCTACCATAAATCAAGGAGCCTCCTTGGGGAGAGGAGCGAGGGTGACAGAAGAGAAGCAGGGAGAAATCCGCTCTTTGCACCGGGGAGAAATAGAGAAACTCCTGGCTTGTCAGGAGCGTTGCTCAGCAGACGCACGGTCAGGCCAGACAGACACATGTAATGAGGGTGTGCTGGGGAGGCAGACGCTGAGGCTGCTGGCACGAGTTGACTGACAAGTTTGAACGGCAGCGGCACAAGCCCTTTTCCTTCAGGAGCTGCCAGCCCTTTGTTGTAATGTGCACAGTTAGCAAGGCACATTTTCTTATTAACTGTTCCTTAGCCAATCCATTATTTTCCAGGAGTGCACAGGGAAGCAACATGCTGAGTGCTCAGTCAGCCTGTGCTCCGGCAACCAGCACCCCCTCCCCACCCCGTGGGTCCCTGCGGGTCCCTACCAAGCTCCTTTACCTGCACTTTCCCTGCACAGCTCACACGGAGAGCTTGGGCACAAGTGCCAGGCGATTTGTTTGCCTTTCCCCCCTCTGTTTGGCTTTAGTAACACTGAAACTTCCAGAGTTACTTTTGAACGTGATATAGTGGTGTTTATATAAGGCTGTCTTCCTCTCCCCCACTTTCCCACTTTTAGCAGTTTGTTGCAAATGTTGGAATCACAGGTCATGGAGGACACAGAGGTGTTAACGTGACAATATTAAAAAGTCAGCCCATCACAAGTGTTCAGCATGGTTTAAACTGCAGGTGCCACCCTGTGTCAGTGCTCGGCTTGGACATGCAGTTCTTTCTTGGACCTTGTTCAGAAATGACACTCCTGGCTTTCAGGACAGTGCCCATGCTGACCTCATGGGTTACGCAAGAGAAAGGAGTGAACCTTTGAAAGTGTGATGAAACATTCTGTAAACTCCAGCAGCCTGATGCTATGAATATTCTCTTACCCTTTAGAAAAAGGCAGTGAAGCCCAGTGAAACTCAGGTCAATGCAGGCAGGATGCTTTGCTATTGACTGTGTCTGTTGTTCTTTCCTTACTGGATCTTTAATCACATTTTGATGTAGTAAACTTAATTACCATCTACCTCATTATTA